CCATTGAGTGAATCTGCAGCCGAATCCGATCCTGCCAAGCAGATGTCCATGATGAAAAAACATCCTTGTAGGGATTGTCATGTTGACCACGCACACCGACGGATGCCGCCAGTAGAAGCAGACGTCGGGATGTAAGCAGGGGAGACGAAGTTGAGAAATGCATGTCCGGTGTGGCGGCCGTAAGGAAGTCGAAGTATGCGCGAAAAGAGGCGGCTGTAAAATTCGATGAGGCCAAAAGAAGGGGAAATTGTGTGGACAAAATACGAGGATCCAGGTTGTCGGCGACGAGGAGACAGGATTGTTCTGGCAACGAAGCATTCGCACAGGCAAGGGCCTGCGCGGCTTCAAAATGCACTCTCACGCAGGCGTGTTCACAAGATGAGGTAAAATGTGGTGACGCGAGCAAAGCTGCTTTCCACGCCTTAGCGTGCGTAGACAGGGAAGGGGAGTCGGGTTCTGTGGTACAGACGCGAAGGAAGGGACTATTCAGACCACAGGACTGGTATGTGAAACAAGAGTTCATGGTACAGAGAGTAGATGTCGCCTGATTGGATTCTGACGACCGTGGAAGGGGAAGGAAGGCTGATGGGAGCCGGAGATGAGACTCGCGTAGACGCTCAGCGTTTGCGCGCTCATTTTCCTGATGGTTGACAGTTTTTTGGAAGGAAGCAACTGTCGCCTAGGCAGTATGTTGGAAAACAAGCCGGTCAGACTAACAGTAAAGGCTGTATAAATCGCTTGTAAAAGTCAGGAAGATGGACCCACCTATTATCCCAGGAACTGGCTACCTAGTGCGCCCAAGGGTGGCAGACAGTGCGTCAGTCTTAAGCGCAAGTTAGCTACGAAAAACTGGGCTCTTAGGTCTGACGGATAAATAGTCGTGGGCTAGCAGCGAAGGCGCTACCAGGACGCAGACGGCTGAGGTCTGGCACTTCGACCGCCTTACAAAATACTGCAAAGTCCGACAAAGGTATTGTAACATGGCGGTTAGGAGTCATTGACTTAGCCATTTAATTGCAACAGTTGTCCTACAGTTCGGTTTTTCAGATAAAGTTCTAAAGTACACGGCCTCAAATCAACAATCCGGGCGGCTGTTGGGGTACCCAGTTGTATTTAAAATATCCCAGGAAATTTCTGGTTTGCATATTAAATTCTATTACAGGGTGTTCGATAGAACTATCTGTTTGGCAAAACTGGTTCAACGGCACGCGGTTCCTCTGGTTGGACATGATCATGGTGAAAGCGAATCATGCATTGCTTGTGTGGAAACCAGCAAATAACCGGCTGACTAGCTTATGACCGAAGAGACACTACCAAAAGTTGGGTCGTGTCCGTGCTGCCGGGTCATATGATGAGCAAACAAGCTAACTAAACTGAAGGAATCGATTGCAAGATTTCTTCACCGCGACAGCCCGATTGTTGGCAAGAACTGGAATGGCCGGACTGTACCAGACGACACCTCGAATAGGCTTCTTTGTTGCCGATTTGGATATTATTATCAATGTGGCAACAGTGAAAGGATGTTCGACTTTGCTGACCAGAACACGCAGCTTCCCATGGGGTCTGATGTTAAAAACACTTATCTGATGACCAGCTCAGTTCCCTCAGTCGAGACTTAACAGTACGATTTTTAAGCAAGACTGTTTTCAAATAACCGTCTCCGTGAAAAGAGATTAAGAAACTTACTAAATGTAGCTGCAGTAAACAAATATCGATAAAAAACATGCTCCACCAGATGCGACAGCGGACTGTGAAAGAAGAACACTCATAAATCCTTGGAATAGATTCTCTTACAACATCGACATTTAGCCATCCTTATTTGTTTCCACAGCTTTCTTTACTTTCTAACAAAAAGTGATTTCTTAAAAAATAAAACGCTGTAACTTGGATAAGAATATACCGCGCTGACGGAATCATAATCTTGTACAGGTAGTACATAATTTACAAACATCATTTGGCAAAAGAATTAGATTAACTAACCTCCAGCCTAAGAAGGGTCTTTGAACTCTGTTGAACACTATTACGTAGATTCCAAATTTGAGTTTCCAGCTGGTACTTAGCCTCAACCAATGATCTGCGCTTTTGTTCAAGCAGAAGGACCTCATTCTTCAAGGATCTATGAATGGCAAGCAGTTCGGAATTGCGCAACTCCACAGTATCTTCACTCTGCAGCACAGGAACTCTTGTCTTTAACAGCAACTGGTTATAGACCCACACTTCTAGATAAGAGTAACACAACAAGTTAGCATCATAACTGCATTTATTACCGGTCAGGTTGTCAGTGCGTACGGTGGGAGGTAGAAGTAAGTAGAGCTGCGCCAAAATGAAAAATGCACCGAGAAGGCAGCAAAAGACCCAAAATCGGCGTACTCGGAACATAGTTCACTCACTTTGGCAACCTAGAAAGTAGTGTAAGTGATATGCGGAAAATGCTAACTAGTAGGTTATTACCGGCAAACGCCAATTTAGATATGTGATAGAAACGGAATAAGGGTTAATTATAAAACGGTAGCCATAGACTAATCGGTTATTAATGGTAAAGGATTAATGAAAAATCGACAAGCTTAAATAATAACAAAATGACCCTACTGTATTGCAAACACCGACTAATGTCACACGAAGTATAGAAACTTAAAGGTCGTGGTGAGCGGTGGGCATCGCAGTACCGAATTCCCAAATGAGTGTTCAGAGCACGCACAATTTAATGTTGCTGAGGGTGAATCTAGGTGAAGGGAGTTGCGGGAGC